CAAAAGAGCATCTGTGGGATGTTATAGTCATCTTTGGAAACTACCTATACCACATACACACACACACACACACACACACACACACACCTTTATATGCAACCCTCCCTTGAGGTACATAACTGCCAGCATAACTTAAACCTGACAGTATTCAATGGAAGAAAGAAATTAGAATGTCCTACATGCCAATTCTCTTCTTGTTTAACTTCGGCCTCATCATAAGCACTCCCTACCAGAGTTTACATCTCTTGAGAAACATTTTAATTGATCTTTGGATCCGTCAATAAGGATTTGAATCCATAGCAACAGACTGTGCATAGAAAATGTTCAGTTCACATAGGTATTTTCCTTTCTGCTGAATCATCCTGAGAGAACAATGAAACTTTATATTCAAAAAGCTTCTTTAAGTTCCAGTAATTACTAGGTTTAACAGGATGCATTCCTGATCCTTACACCACAGACATCTATTGTTTTTTTCAGCCTACTACCCCTTTCTTCTACTAAGACTTGTACCTCTTCCTACTCTAGTACAAGAAGACTTGTACTCTTTCTTCTACTCTAGTGGACTGCCATGAGTTTATATGATTCTGCCCTCTGGTCACAGTTGATTGGTCCAGGGATCTAAATAGGACAATCAGAGTTCTTCCCTTGGATTAATTTTCCTAACTGGAACTGAAAAATACAGTCATTCTCTGTGATGATAAGAATTCTGGAATGAGGAAAAACAGGAGCTTTTGTGGTCATATACTCACCTTATGGAGAAAACCAGTCCTGAGTGAAAGAAAATTAAGGTGGATATGCAGACAAAGGCAGACACAGAGACAGAAGATCGGGTAGTAAGTCCCTGCTTGTGGAACCCAGAGGTATCCCTGCCTTTCTGCAGAATGATTTCAGTGACATGGGAAATCATGCCCTAAAAAACCTGTAGCAGATGCCATGCCCATAGCACATAGTACTCATCATTCTAGCACTGCATACACTCAAGACTAAAACACCTCATGTTGGCCTCCTTCCCTTCCTTAAATCACTCCCCCACTCCCCTGTTGGCGCTCCCTGGCATCACCTCCCAGTAAACCATTTGCACCCCCATCCTTTTTTCAGAGTCTGCTCCAGAGCAAAATTAGACTAAAACAGAGTCCCTCTTCTTACCTAGACTAATAAGATGTGGGTTTTTGTCACTTGCAACCAAGAGTTCTATGTATTATCTCTCTCTGGGATGATTCCCAAAATCTGTTTGGAATTCCCCATCTCCACTCTAGTGACTGTCATAAATATACAGATTTTCTCTAAAAAGTTTAACGGCATCCTTTTTTTTTAGAGAGAGTAGGGAGGGACAAAGGGAGAGAAAGAGAATTAAGAAGGCTCCACACTCAGCACAGAGGCCAATGCAGGGCTCCATCTCCTAACCCTGAGATCATAACCTGAGCCAAAATCAAGAGTCAGACACTTGACTGACTGAGCCACCCAAGTGCCCCAAACAGAAACCAAGGCACACTACAATGCTATGACCATAAGTATCACAGTGACCGTAATGAGAATTTTCTCTAACCAACCACCTCCACCAAATTCTGCTGATTACAGCAAATATGAGATTTCCAGGATGCTTCAGTGGACATGAGAGAATGTCTGTGGCATAACTTCTAGCTAATTTTTCCATGTTTCCAGAATATTGAAATGTGTATTGATTGTCCCAAAAAGGGCCTAACTGATTATAATTATATAATTGTATATAATTCCTAAAGGGCCAAACCACAAGTATTCCAGTTCCCTTGGAGAAGCTACACACCAGGGACTCAAGATTCTCTCCTTGAACAATCCCAGTTCTGGGATCAACAGCAACTCTCCTCTGGGTCTGGCTTTCTCAAGAGTACTGTATGTTGTACATTGCCACCAAGGGTATCCAGGGACACAAACTAAAGGTAATAATGTTTTATTGTCCCTCAAATATCTGTCCCTCCCACATGCTAGAAAGAATGCCAAGTCCAATTTGTCCAAGCATAAAATAGCATCATTGGCATCATCAGATCACATAACCAAACTTCCAGTGGCAATTTATTATCAGCCTACAAGTAACTAACATCAAGCACTCACACTGCTAGGGACCAATGTAAGTGCTTTACCTGCTGCACTAGCCAGGATATACTGGGTTATGCCACAGCAACAAATGAACCCCAAAATCTCAATGGCTTGGCAACAAAGGTTGACTTCCCATGCTCCCTTCCACCATGGATTAGATGGAGACTATGCTCCATATGGTCATTCAGAGACCCAGAATGATGGAAAGCCTATCATCTCAACACAAGACTTTAAGTAATGGGGATGCCCAAGTGGCTCAGTGGTTGAGCGTCTGCCTTTGGCTCAGGGTGTGATCCCAGGGTCCCAGGATCAAGTCCCACATCAGGCTCCCCACAGGGAGCCTGCTTCTCCCTCTGCCTGTGACTCTCTGCCTCTCTCTGTGTGTCTCTCATGAATAAATAAACAAAATATTTTTTAAAAAGACTCTAGTTAATAGGGTGGCAGGAGATGAGACAGTGAGATGATTAGTTACCAGCCTTAGACAGCTGTAGGCTAAAAGCGATGCATGCAGCTTCCACTCACAGCACATCCACTGTAAATACAAAGGTGCTGGGAAATGAGGAGGAGAACATGGATATCCCATGAGCAGTAAGCGTTCCTACCATTGTGCAATAGCTCATTAAAGTCTTACCACCTTAGAAAATATACCATTACTCCTTTTTACAGAGGAGAAAATAGAGACAGAGAAGTTAAGGGACTTGCGCCAAGGTATCATAGGTAATAAGTGGCAGAGTCAAGATGTGAACCCAAGCTTCAAAACACACTCAACCACAATGCTGCATACTCATCACAAAATTCTATGAAAATCCCTCAAATAGCAAAACACATGCTAATTAATAGAAGCCAAGTTATATATATATAAAATAGAACTCCCCTGACACAACACCTCTTCACCCCAAAGATTCAACCTCAGCAAAAACCTGAAACAGAGTTCTGGGCAATTTCAGCAAGGGGGAAATAGGTTATCCATCTGGGTCTGATACTCAGCTTTTAGTCCACCCACATCAAGACAAAAATCTTCCAAAACCTTCACCTGAATATCAGAGTAGACCTTCAACTCTTGTCCATTGGTGACATCTTTATACAATGCATAGATCTTTCTAAAAGTGCAAAAGTAAATGTCATCCATGTACCTGCAGGAACAGGCCAGAGGCAGATGTTATCATATCCAGATGAGTGGCAGAGTGGCAGTGCTTCCAACAGGTTAATTCCTCCCGGCCTGCAAAACTCAAGTCTAGCACCACCTCCTCCAAAGAACCCTCCCCTACCCGGCTTCTCCAGGCTGGGACCCTCTACCTCTGCTCCCACATCACTTCCTGTGAACACTTCTAGCAGAGCCTGGTGTATCATTTTACTTGTCTGCCTGTCCCCTAGACTCTGAGCCACCCACAGGCAACCTCTGCATTTATATTTCTGTATTTCTTACACCTAGGACATAGTATGTGCTCAAAAAATGTGGGGCAGATGGGCAGATGATTAAGAGTATTCAAAGCAATTTGTGCCCTTGGGGAATTTAACACACTCTTCCAGTGCCCAGTAAGCATGTGGCCAAGCATAAAAATTAGTCTCAGCCTCATAACTACTGTGTGACCTTGAAATGGTTCCTTAGCCTCTCTGAGCAGTTTACCTTGCTACTAAGTAAAAACTACCTCATAGATATGTTGGAAAAATTAAGTGGAAAGCAGAGGGTATTCGATCAAATATTCATAGTAGCACTAATCACAACAGCCAAAAGGTGGAAAAAACCCAAATGTCAATCAGCTGGTGAATGGATATTTAGCGTATTTAGTATAAGACACGGCATATCCAAACAGTAGAATATTAATAAGCCATGAAAAGGATGGAATGTTGATGGATACTACAATGTGGATGAACTTTGAAAACATGCTCAGTGAAAGAAGCCTAACACAAAAGGCCACATGATTCTGTGTATATGAAATGTCCAGAGGAGATAAAACCAAGCAGATTAGTGGTCGCCAGAGACCGGGTGAGGGAAGAATGAGTGACTGTTAATGGGTACAGGGCTTCCTTTTGATGGGATGAAAAAGTTCTGAAACTAGATAGAGGCAATAGGTGCACAACACTGTGAATGCACTAAATGTCACTGAATTTATATACTTCTCAGTGATTAAAATGATAAATCTTATCCTATGTGTATTTAACCACAATAACTTCTTAAAATTCTTATGGGAAATTTCCAACTAATAACCTACCTAGGATTTTTTTTTAAGTGGAATAGATAATGTGTATGTAGTTCCTGGCCCTCTCAGGCCCTCAATCCATGGTAGCTGCTTTCATAGTCATAATGAACAATAATTTGTTCTCCCTATAAAACAGAATATACTGAGCAAAGGAAAGCACCAGTCTAATTTGTTCTTCAAATCTTCACAATAGTGGAATTGAAATAAAAGTCCAGGGCAGCCCAGGTGGCTCTGCGGTTTAGCACCGCCTTCAGCCCAGGGCGTGATCCTGGAGACCCCAGCATAGAGTACCACGTTGGGCTCCCTGCATGAAGCCTGCTTCTCCTTCTGCCTGTGTCTCTGCCTCTCTCTCTGTGTGTTTCTCAGGAATAAATAAATAAAATCTTTTTAAAAAGAAAGAAAAATCCAAAATATTTCACAAGTTCAGCTTGACTTTTTTTTATCATGGTAAAATATACATAACATAAAATTTACCATTTTTACCATTTTACAGGGTACAGTTCAGTGGCATTAGGTGCATTCACAATGCTGTGCAACCATCACAACCATCCATTTCCAGAACCTTTCATCACGTAAACCATGACATCTTGTTACACTCCAGGTGTTTCAATCCACAACAGAGCTCAGGCACAATTATCAATTTGGACTTTGTTCAACCACAGATAAAAAAGGGAGAAAAATAGGAGCAGGCCCACAAACTCTGTGATGTGTAGTGCTCACAGCATGATGGGGCTTGGGGTCCTCTCATTGCTGCTGCCCATCCTGGTGGGCTGGGCCAGCTGCCACCCCATCCCCGGAAGGAAGAACTTCAACAAGCTCCTGCTGATATCCTTCGATGGCTTCCGCTGGAACTACGACCAGGATGTGGACACCCCCAACATGGACCGCCTTGCCCAGGAGGGCGTGAAGGCCAAGTACCTCACACCACCCTTCGTGACAATGACCTCTCCATCCCACTTCACCACCATCTCAGGTAAGTTCTGCTCTGCAGCCAGTCTGCCAGTGCTAGTGGAAGCCTTAGTACTTGTTATTCCCTGAGACAGAGCCCATTCTCAGTCAGCTCTCAGGAGACTGAGGCAGTTCATGCAACTGGAAGAAGCACTAGCTTAGAATATTTTGGTTTTTAGAACCCCACTGGCTACAGGGCACCAGCCTGCAGACAGAATTAGGACCACAGCTGCAGCCTCTCCACCCCTGCTCCCTGCTCCCTGGGCCCCCCTGCCCCTCCACCTTGCCTTATACACAATGGCTTGTGATCTTTTCCAAAACTAAATCATTAAAAGAACTTCATAAAAATAATAAAATATTAAACTTTAAAGAACTCAATTATATTAGATGACTCCCTGGCTTATTATTAAAAAGCTGGAGGGACACCAACGCTCTTTGATTTTTTTTTTTTTTGGTGGTTGTTATTTTGTTTTGTTTTTAAAGATTATATTTATTTATGTATTTATTTGAGAGAAAGAGAGCATGAGTGGGGTGGAGAGACAGAGGGAGAGGGAGGAAACAGACTCCCTGCTGAGCAGGGAGCCCAACGTGGGGCTTGATCCCAGGACCCCAGGATCATGACCTGAGCTGAAGGTAAATGCTTAACCAGCTGAGTCACCCAGGTGCCCCACCAATGTGCTCTTTGAAGAGAATTCAAATTTTGTCTTTCTGTGCCCCAGAAAGTCCCATGACCTGGCCCCTGACCCACTGTTTCCTGGCCTCTCTCATCTCTCTTCCCCTCACATGTTTCTCTCCAGATCACAAAGGCCACCTGCCTGTATCTCCACCCAGCCCCCACCTGCCTCAGGGCCTTTGCCCTTGCCAGTCTCCCTAGCTCACCTGGAGCATGTAGTCTGAATGGGGGAGACAAGCAAAGATACTACTAGATCTCATCAGTGAGGAGAGGCACTGAGAAGGAAGAAGAGAGTTTCTTCAAGAGAAGACAGCAAGGGCAAATTGACTTGCAGTTGGAGGCAGGGAAAGGCTGAGATGGGACAATTGAACTGAAAACTGAAAGAGACCTCAGGAGACAAAGAGAAAGGAAAAGTGTTCCAGGCAGAGGGAAGAGCATATTCAAGGCTTCTGTGATAGGAAGGAATGTGGTCATTTCAAAATCCCAGTTGCCAAAATGCAAAGGATTTCATTATAGTAAGAATAAGAACAGCTTCCATTTCTCCAACATGGGCCTGAAGCCAGGCATGTGCTAGGTGCTTTGGCTTCAATATCTCCAATACAACAATACTGCAAAGCAAGTGTTGTCCCCATTCCACAGATGAGAAAAACAAAGCTCAGAGAGGCTGAATAACAAACTCATCAGTGACTTGGCCAAGAATTGGGCCAGGGGGAAGCCAGGCCTAGAATGAATATGTCCCTGGCCACATGAAACTAGTTCTGCCCAACTATGAGTCTGGGATCCACAGACCCCTCTCATGGGGTAAAGAGTGGTGCCTGGCAGCATGAGCCTCACCCCTACCCAGAGAACCATTCCTTCGAGTCCAGGGCAGCTCCTGGAGCCTCCAAAATGATACACACACTGCTGGTACCTTTTTTGGGGAGAGGGTTTTATCACTTCCATCAGACTCTCAAAGGGACACTTGAATCAGAAACTTAAAAAATAAAGCTGAATAACCACTCAGAGGGAGATTTGCTGAGAGAGATTTTCCTATATGTAAACTCTTTGAGAAGCAAGTCATTCGGGAACTATTAGTGCCAGGAAGCAGGAACTAAATAGCCCTTTTCTGGAGAAACCGAATGCTACTTCCTAGTGGCATTAACTTCATAACACTTAAAAGATCTCCCATGGGCAGACTCTGGGTCCCTGAACACTGAGAATATGATGGGCACAAAATATTATAAGGCATGCCCACCTTTTATTTATTCCCAGAAGGTCCTCGATGAGAAGATATAAACAGTTAAGAGCAAATTTTTAAAATTCTAAAATCACTGCAACTCCTCTCCTACATTCATTGCCAGTGGGAAATGGAAATGGGTACAGTTTCAATGCAGGGTAATTTGGCAACATCGGGGCAGCCCCCGCGGCCCAGCGGTTTAGCGCCACCTTCAGTCGAGATCCTGATCCTGGAGACCCGGAATCGAGTCCCACGTTGGGCTCCCTGCATGGAGCCTGCTTCTCCCTCTGCCTGTGTCTCTGCCTCTGTGTGTGTGTGTGTGTGTGTGTGTGTGTGTCTCATGAATAAATAAATAAAATCTTTATAATTAATTAATTAATTAATTAATTAATTAACTAGGCAACATCAAGTACAATCAGGAACTTACAAATTTTCTTATTTGGCAAATTCAACTTGCAGGACTTTATCCCACAGATATATATCTGCTGGGTAGAAAACGATGTACAGTGTACATACAAAGTTATTCATTGCATTGGCATTTATAACCACAGGAAAAATAGAAACAACCTAACTATCCACCCAAAGGGGAATGGCTAAATAAAATACCAGACATAGAATGGCATAATCTGTTACCTTTAAAAGGAAAAATGAAGAAGCTCTTTGTGCCGTGATAGGAAGGTATCTCCAAAATGGATTAAGTGACAAAAGCAAGATGCAAAGAATGTGTGTAGCATGCATATATGGGTTCATATAATATGTGTGTATGTATGTATATATACATATATATATATGCAATTATTTTTTTTAAGATTTTATTTATTTATTCATGAGAGACACAGAGAAAGAGAGGCTGAAACATAGGCAGAGGGAGAAGCAGGCTCCATGCAGGGAGCCCGATGTGGGACTAGATCCCAGAACTCCAGGATCACACCCTGAGCTGAAGGCAGACGCTTAACCGCTGAGCCACCTAGGCGCCCCTATATGCAATTATTTATAGGTGTATAGAAGACCACTAGATAAATAAACAAGAAATTGGTGATACTAGTTCCTCCAGGGAGAGCAGTGGGTGGGAGACTTTGAACTGTACCTCCTGTGTACTTTTTAGATCTTAGACCAAATGAAATGTACTGCCTATAAATAACAAAATGTTATACACCAAATAATCTTTTTAATTAGCTCACTGTGAAAAAAAAAAAAAACATGTCTCTTTTATTTTTAACCAGACCTGCCATTTATTGAGCAGGTAAACATTCACTCGACTTTGACTTTAAAACAGGTTTTTCGGGATCCCTGGGTGGCACAGCGGTTTAGCGCCTGCCTTTGGCCCAGGGCGCGATCCTGGAGACCCAGGATCGAATCCCACGTCGGGCTCCCGGTGCATGGAGCCTGCTTCTCCCTCTGCCTATGTCTCTGCCTCTCTCTCTGTGTGTGTGTGTGTGTGTGTGTGTGTGTGACTATCATAAATAAATAAAAATTTTAAAAAGTTTAAAAAAATAAAATAAAACAGGTTTTTCACGCAGCCTAGGTTGCTCAGGTTGCCCTCCCTCTTTACAGGCTAGAAGTCAGGGGTTCAAAGATGTACAAATCTTTTCTGGGGCAGAGATAGGATTCAAACTCAGTCCTGGATGGTTACAGTCACTGGCTCTTCAATCCCTTCCCTCCAGCATGACTACAGCCCGCCACTGTCTTTGATTCTAATTAAGTAATCATTCCAAACCCCTCTGAATGTTGCCCATCCTCAGAGATTCCAGGCAATAAGTATATATCCTGAATATGTTGTATTAATAAAACAGAGGCTATCCCAGGCCCAACAAAATCCCCAGCATTTGTCTTCGTGAGCTGGGCTCAAGCAGACTTCTGTCTGACTCTAATGTGGAAAAGAATCATCCATAATAGAAAAAATAATGGATAAAATTCGTACTGCCAGCACCCAAAGACCTCATCAGATTCCAGGGTGTAGGCCTGACACACAAACTATGGGAAAGGGGGCTCTCTTAGCTCAATGACTAATTAATTGGTCTTCTTACAAACACCTCTGGGCGATTTAACACAGAAGAGAGAGGAGGAGGAGGAACTTGACACACTGCTTCACATCTCAGCTGCAATACTATGCACAGCTCCAACACAGGCTCAAGTCCAGGAAGCCATGTGGCCATCTCTCTGAGCTTCCTAGACAGAGTTCAAGGGGCAGAGGCCAGGCGATCTCAGGCAAGGACCAAAGTCAGGAGAAGCCATGCCCCAGGCACAAGGATCCATGAGGAAGCCTCCCTCAGATAGCTGACAAAGCTGCCTAGGGCCAGTATGCTGCCCTCCCCCCCCACTCCCCCACCCCCCCATCTGCTGCCCTTATCTCCACAGCAGGGCCTCCTCATGCCTGGGGGCTGTCAGGTGTGTGGGTATCTCAGCCCTCACCCCAGAGCCAGGGTCACATGACCCTCATCAGTTTCCCCTGCTGCTGGTAAAGAAAGTCTTCCTGGAGAGTTTTAGAGGGTTTCCAACATATTCGTTTCTTCATTCAACAATTATTGTTTTAGCATCTCTGTTGGGCCTGGGAGCGGCAACAGTGGCCAACTACATTTAAGTGTCTCCAAGGTCTTGCCACTTCCTAGGGCTTACCTCATGACACAGTCTCATGTCCCCTCTGTTCCCAGATTCCACAGATGTTTTGGGGGGTTTGTTTCCTTTCCTCTGTAGCTCTGCCAGGGAGAGAGATGAAGAGCCCCTTTATTGTGCCTTTTTGTCTCCTTTCTCTGACAGCTCAAGGAATCAGACAGAGAAAATGTATTCTCACTTGGCCATGTCCCCACCAAACCTTTTTCTGCACCCCCTGCTCCTCTAGCTCCCATAAGGGGCAGAGCTTAGGAGGAATACCCACTTTCCATGCTTTCTCCCTCTCCTTGAAGCAGAGAGGACAGACGTCCTGAACAAAAAACTCAGGGAGGGAGGATTTCTTAAAAACTGGCTATTTATTAAAAATATCCTACCTCATCACCTCTCCACATGAGACAATCTTTACATCCTCACAAAGAATGTGTATTTTTCCTCCAAGTATCGGCCCTCCCAGTACCACCTGCAAGAGGGGAAGTGGGGCCCCTATCTAGAATCAAAGCTCCAAGGTGTAGGGCAGCCCTGGTGG